ATGTTGTCAATAATGACAGCTATGTTGTCAATAATGACAGCTATATTGTCAACAATGACAGCTATGTTGTCAACAATGACAGCTATGTTGTCAACAATGACAGCTATGTTGTCAACAATGACAGCTATGTTGTCAACAATGACAGCTATGTTGTCAACAATGACAGCTATGTTGTCAACAATGACAGCTATGTTGTCAACAATGACAGCTATGTTGTCAACAATGACAGCTATGTTGTCAATGACAGCTATGTTGTCAATGACAGCTATGTTGTCAATGACAGCTATGTTGTCAATGACAGCTATGTTGTCAATGACAGCTATGTTGTCAATGACAGCTATGTTGTCAATGACAGCTATGTTGTCAATGACAGCTATGTTGTCAATAATGACAGCTATGTTGTCAATAATGACAGCTATGTTGTCATAATGACAACATGTGTCAAATGACAGCTATGTTGTCAATGACAGCTATGTTGTCAATGACAGCTATGTTGTCAATGACAGCTATGTGTGTCAATGACAGCTATGTTGTCAATGACAGCTATGTTGTCAATGACAGCTATGATGTCAATGACAGCTATGTTGTCAATAATGACAGCTATGTTGTCAATAATGACAGCTATGTTGTCAATAATGACAGCTATGTTGTCAACTATGACAGCTATGTTGTCAACAATGACAGCTATGTTGTCAACAATGACAGCTATGTTGTCAACAATGACAGCTATGTTGTCAACAATGACAGCTATGTTGTCAACAATGACAGCTATGTTGTCAACAATGACAGCTATGTTGTCAACAATGACAGCTATGTTGTCAACAATGACAGCTATGTTGTCAACAATGACAGCTATGTTGTCAACAATGACAGCTATGTTGTCACAATGACAGCTATGTTGTCAACAATGACAGCTATGTTGTCAACAATGACAGCTATGTTGTCAACAATGACAGCTATGTTGTCAACAATGACAGCTATGTTGTCAACAATGACAGCTATGTTGTCAACAATGACAGCTATGTTGTCAACAATGACAACTGTACTGTCAATAATAACAGTTATGCTGTTATTAGTGACAACAATAACGTCAGTACCAGCCATGTTGCCAACAGTAATGTCAATGCCAGCAACGTTGTCAACAGTGACGCTCTATTACCAAAAATGACGGTAATATTGTCAATACTGACAGCCACGTTGACAGAAACACCAACCATGTTGTCACTGTCAGCACTGTGATGTTCAAGTTTTGCCAGCGTCATTTAAGGACAACTTTCGAACCCGACTGGTATCAGGCGGTCACTGGAGTCTACCTGGAGGGTATTCCAGGAGTCAACGCCCCCGTGTCCCGGTCTGTGACCAGGCCTAGCGGTGAATCAGGGCCTGATCAACCAGGCCGCACGCAAACCGACGCACGAACCACAGCCCGGCTGATCAGGTACTGACTTTAGGTGTCTGTCCAGCACCTTCTTAAGACATTCAGGGGTCTATTGGTAATCCCTCTTATGCATCCTGGCAGGCAGTTGAATAGTCTTGGATGCTGAGAGCCACAGTCCATCTACGTTTATCCCTTTATGTCTATCTACTACCCTCTAAGAGCACACTATCAGCCAATTTTCAAAGATCTTCACTGCACAATTTAATCTTTACCTTGTTTCCCTCACTATCTACTGTCTATTAACTATTTATTCACTGTCTCCGTTCAATGCTCGGATGTTTTCGTTTTCTGTGTACATTGTTCGACTCTTCTTTTTTTCCTCCCACACCGTCTAACATCCTTCCACCCACATTTATTCCATCATTACTCACAATTATATAATATATATATATTATATATATATATATATATATATATATATATATATATATATATATATATAGTGCCGAATAGGTAACATTTGTCAATTCGCAAGAACTCGTTTGAAATTAAGTCCTTTCTATAATTTTCTCTTATACGTTTAAAGATATATTTTTCATTGATGTTAATGTAAAAATTAATAATTTTGTACCAAAAGAACCTTAGAAAATGTACCTAACTTTGTTAAAACAAGCGCAATTTAATTTAGCCTAATCCCAAAAAATATATTTTAGATAAGTTTACAATAATTTAAATAAACAAACACAATGAAATATATTTTTTTAGTTAGGTTCAAAATGATTATTGCCAAATTATTGCACACACAAATTTTCGCTTGCCTTATTCGAGAAGAAGAGCCTTGCTATTTAATCCAAAGCCGCAAGTTTAACCTATTCGGCACGACTATATATAAAATATATATATATATATATATATATATATATATATATATATATATATATATATATATATATAACACGAAGCAATATGCTAATAATGGCAATGATTTTTCTGGTATTTCAATAACTGAGAACAGAAAGAAATTAATTAATACCATTATTTAACGAAAAAATTAAGAACAAATTATTCAAATTAAAGAACATCAGGGGACAAAAAATGCATGAAATAAACGAAAACAATTATTTCTATTATCGATGTTTATTAAGCGCCTCTCGACCTGGGTGTTAGGTGCCCTTGTTCAGCTAACAGGAAGTTAGTACCTGGGTGTTCACTGTCCCTGTTCAGCTAACAGGAAGTTAGTACCTGGGTGTTCACTGTCCCTGTTCAGCTAACAGGAAGTTAGTACCTGGGTGTTCACTGTCCCTGTTCAGCTAACAGGAAGTTAGTACCTGGGTGTTCACTGTCCCTGTTCAGCTAACAGGAAGTTAGTACTGGGTGTTCACTGTCCCTGTTCAGCTAACAGGAAGTTAGTACCTGGGTGTTCACTGTCCCTGTTCAGCTAACAGGAAGTTAGTACCTGGGTGTTCACTGTCCCTGTTCAGCTAACAGGAAGTTAGTACCTGGGTGTTCACTGTCCCTGTTCAGCTAACAGAAGTTACCGGGTTTCTGTCCCTGTCAGCTACAGTGTACTGGGTGTTCACTGTCCCTGTTCACTAACAGAAGTTAGTACCTGGTGTTAATACTGTCCCTGTATCAGCTAACATGAAGTAGTACTGGGTGTTTGACCTCCCTGTTCAGTCTAACAGGAAGTTAGTATCTGGGTGATCACCTGTTACCATGTTCAGCTAACAGGAATTAGTCCCTGGTTTCACATGTCCCTGTTCAGACTAACATGGAAGTTAGTATCTGGGTGTTCATGTCCTGTTCAGCTAACAAGGAAGCTAGTAACCCTCGGGTGTTCACTGTCCCTGATCAGCTAACAGTGAATTAGTACCTGGTCTGCTCACTGTCCTGTTCAGCTAGTATGAAGTACGAGGTGTTGCCTGTCCCTGTTCAGAGCAGGTAGTACCTGGGTGTCACTATCCGTGTCTCTGCAGTAAGTTGTACCCTGGTTGTTAACTATTCTTTCACTCTAGTAATAAGTATGTACTTAGGTTAGCTGAATGTTGTGTGTGGCATCCTGGGAGGATGGCCAAACTCATAGTGAATAAATCCATGCTTTTTGGGGATTTTCTGTTACTGACCCTCCTGGATTAGAAATCCAGATGGTGAGAATGAAATGAGTGTGCATTGATAACTTTTATTTTCGTTGCAAAAGTAACTTACTCCAAGAGCGTTGGCTGGCTTCCTCACGAAGCTAAGCCGGTGCAACACTAAGCCAGCAGGTCGTGACATTCCGGTGGTGCCCTGGCTTACTGCTTCTTTAAACAGTTGCGATTTATGAGAGTGGGGAGGGATGGGGTGAGGGAGATGGGGGTGAGGGAGAGTGGTAGGGGGGAAATGGGGGTGCATAGATGGGGTGCATTGGAAGGGGGGGGAGATAAGATGGAAAAGGGAATAAAAGTAGGTGAAGAGACAAAGGGTGAAAGGGAGAATCGGAGGGCTGGGGAGAAAGGGAGAATGAGGAGAGAAAAGGGGGCGAAAGATAAAAGTTGAGAAAGGGATGGAAACGAGGAAAAAGGATAAAGACAGGAAGAGTAATGGAAAAGTACGAAGAGAGAAAGTTGAAACGATAAGATGGGAGAGAATGGGAGGGTGAGAAGGCCGGTGGCCTGGTGGCTAAAGATCCCGCTTCACACACGGAGGGCAGGGTTCGATCCGGGGGTGGAAACATTCCGACACTGTTGTCCTTACACCTGTTATCTCCTGTTCACCTAGCAGCAAATCGGTACCTGGGATGTTAGTTCGACTGGTGTATGGTCGCATCACCTGGGTACAAGATTAATGGACCCCTAATGGATATAAGTTTAGACAGTACCTCGATGACGCACTGACATTTCTTGGAGTTATCCTGGTTGGCTAACCCTCCGGCGTTAAAATCCGAACGAAATCTTATCTTACTTATCTTAAACTAAATGAAAGTTACTGGATAAAAATAGAAGAGGATGGTTTAAGGCAAGAGGCGTGTAAGAGAGAGAGAGATAGAGAAATATCTCCCCACACATGAAGGTTGTCATCACTTTTCATCTTCAACGTTTTTACATCTCTCTCAGCGCAGATATCTCTCTCAACACGATTACATCTCTTGACGTAGATTAATATCTCTCACCGCGGTTACTTTTTTAACGCAGTTTAATGTATCTTAACGATATTACGTCTCTTGACGCAGTTTACTGTCACTCTCAACGATACTGACATTTCTTGACGCAGTTTACTCTCTCAACGATGTTACATCTCTTGACGTATTTATCTCAACGACATTACATATCTCAGCATCTCTCTACTTCTTGCTGAAACCCTTGCACCTACCACTGCGCGAAACGTGCTACTATGACCGCCAACGACATAGCAAGTTCAGGACTGTTTAAGGCAGTAACGCTTGTTTCCTAATGATCAGTAGATAAACGCAATCGTTGCGTCACACGGTGCATCGACTTGCGTCACAGCCCCATAATTACCATAGACAAGATCCTGAAAATGAACAACTAAGGGGACACACAACACAATGGAACTCCCACCCTCTCCTCTTTGTCCTCTCCCCCCCCCTCTCATCCTTCCCCCCTCCCCGAGCTCCTTATCTTACCTTGGAGGAAGAGGAGATGGAGGAAGAGCGAGGTGAGTGAGAAAGACATTTTTATTTACTGTCTCCTGTGGTCGTCACAACGTGTTCGCCTCCCCGCGAACACTTGTTGATTCTCACTGAATATCAGCACTCCACACTAGTTTTCACCACTGACTAACACCTTGAGGCTCATTTTCACGCAGTTGCACCCCGCTAGAGTGTGCTGTTTCGCTCGGGGAGTCACGAAACGCGAAGGTGACAGCGTTTCGCGTCCATAGCTTCAGCGATCAAACAGCAATATGTCAACACTTGCTACCGACCTCTCCTGGACGACACTTTGGTGACCACTGCCAGCTGCACCGTACGATACTTTGGAGAGAAGTTGGTGAATTTTGTACATCGAACTTGGTTTGAAACCACCGCAAGAGATATCGAGAGCCGAATAGTCTGTGCCGGATGCGCACATTCTGTGTCGTACACTTTCGAATTAGTGAGGGGAAAGGTGTGCGATACACAAAAGCAGGATCATCATACGTCTGGGAAGGCAGGAAAGGACGCGGTATCCATGGCAACGGGAGTACTGTGTGTTGGGTTATAAAACTTTAATGAGATTTAATATAATGGAGAAATTATGGACATATATTTTCAGACACGGGGAGGAGGGGAGAGGGGGGAGGGGGGAGGGGAGGGGGGAGGGGAGGGGGAGCCAGGGATGCCATAAAACACCAATGCATACTTAACCATGCTTGAATACCCCGAGTTATTAAACTTTCTCGGTATAAAAAAAAATACCAGAAGTTTTGATATTAATTTTTGCATTCTGGGCGTGCCAGGAGAAAATGTTATGGGGGGGGGGCAATTCTCGCTTCATGATCATGACTAAAGCAATCTGTTCTTGTTAGTGGCCATACTGTCTTACTGCTTTTAGTCTGCCGTAGCATACAAGTTTGATACAGCCTTTATACAAGACTGAAGATGCTCAAATAACACATAGAAGAATGAAACATATAACGACGTTTCGGTCCCACCTGGATCATTAACTAGTCACACCGAAACTAGTCACACCATTAACTAGTCAAAAGTTTCATTTGCTGGTATACATATATGTGTAGTATATGTAGAATATGTGGTATGCATATATATATTTCCTAGCAGCATTTATAGGTAAGATCCCTGGCCAAGCCTTAAGTCACGTGACCTGCTCTCCCGCACGTAGGTCCTCCTTCACAGGCCTCTGTCTCAAATTCAAGCAGGCTTACGAGGCGGCAGATGGACAGGCTGGGGCTTTTCCACGCTTACCAAATACAACGCCTCTATGTAATAATCTATTGTTGTTTTCACGCTACTATCACTCCATCAAGAGCCCTCCTAACACATTCTCCGATGTGCGGGTTATTTGACTATTCCAGTTACGTTATTCGTGTTTTTTTATTCTTCCTGAAGATGCAATAAGATTGCAAATTTGTGATATCTGAATATACAATAGAACCACAGTGAAAGATAATGAAATTCCAAGCGCTTTCGTGGCCTCTCAGTCACATTCTCAAGGGCAGTGTGGCAGAGGGTGTTGTGGGTCCCCTGACCGTATTGTCTTCTGGCCTTCTCTACTTTCCTCTTCTCAGCTGTGATTTGACAATTGTCCAGAACGGAACAAAATGTCATCAAAAGGTTCCTCTCTTAAGTGCGTTTTTTTTTTTTTTTTGGGTATTTTATAAATAGCACTTTTATACAGTGTCGTGAGAGGAAATAGATATTATGGAGATACATGTTATAATTTTTCAACTTAACATAAGATAACCCCATGAGTCAGCTTATTATAACCCAGTCTAAATCAACGTGGCTTGTTTCTATAGGGGTTCCTTGACTCGTGAGTCACTGCCACTCCATCTCTTATTCAGTGTGACTCAGTGAGACGATAACTAGAACAGGAAGTCAACTCTGAGAGTCACTGGCTTTCTGAAATGAATGACCAAAGGAGCCGCGTGTGAGCCATGTCCTGCCACGTCTGCACTAGATCATCGTCATTTTTGAACTCGTAGTCTAGTTGTATATGAGCCGTGCTGTGGTAACTACTACTGCGATTTATCACGTTTTACTGTGTGTGTGTTAGCCTGCTTTTCCTCTCTTTCTCTCTCTCTCTCTCCATGACGTACACACAAACACTTGTGGTTTCAGTACAGCTCGCACACTCTACAATATCACCCACAAATCAACTCCATGTCTCCCAGAGGGCGCCTGTCTGCTACTCCTGTTAACTAAGCTAAGAAAACAAGACTATTTCACCCCTGTTGCGCTAGACTTCGAGTAACGAATAGAACTGACTCTCACTTCCATTTTCACAATCACGCACGCGCGCTGTTAGGGACTCTATGACCAGCATTCAAGAACTTCAATAGAACCCTCTGTGATTCTATTTACTGCTTATGTCGGACCCATCTTGAAGTAAGCGGCACCAGCATGAAACCCACATATAATTTAGCATGTCAAGAAACTATAAAAAGCTCAGAGGTTTGCAACAAAACTAGTCCCGAAAGAAGAACAAATAAGTTATGAAAAGTGACTAATGGGAACTAAACTTCCCGACAGAAAACAGAAGGGTTTAGGGAAACATGATTCCAAACTGGAACATACACAGAGGACCAGATGGGGTAGTCAGTGATAGACTGTTCGAGAGGCAGGAAACAGGTACCCAGGTGCACATTAAAAGACAAATACACAAGCTACGGGGATGTCAGAAAATACTTCTTTTTGCCCACCATTATTTAGGTCATTCAAAAGCTGAATGACCTAGATAAAGAAACGATAAAAGCAGACATACGAACTTATGTTACACGCTGCCCCATTGTTTACCTATCAGTAAACAGATACATATGTGTCAGAGGGTAGTAATCTGGGGAAAAAAAATTCCTATCAAAAGATAGATATAAGAATGTTACACCACGAGTGTTGATGACTGGAGTAACAAGCTGACAAGCGTGTATATTAACACGTACTTCAGAGCACCACATTATCTTTTTAGGAGTGAGTTCTATCTACAGGCTCGCTCCGGCTAGCATTGTTCTCCTGTACGTATAGAAAGATAACACCCTTGCTGATTTATTCTGTGTAAAATTTATATCCGTAGTAAACAAGAGGGTTTCTACCTCACCTGTCCGGATACATATAAGGTGCAAGCTGAAGTGTCGAAAGTGACGAATGTTTGTTTTTGGATGGAAATGGAGTGATGGTAATGCTGATAAACTGTAAAATGATGGTAATGCTGATAACTATAAGTGATGTAATGTACAACTTCAGAGTGATGGTAATGTTGACGAACTTCCAGAGTGATGGTAATGTTGACGAACTTCCAGAGTGATGGTAATGTTGACGAACTTCCAGAGTGATGGTAATGTTGACGAACTTCCAGAGGATGTAATGTTGACAAACTTCCAGGGATGGTAATGGACGAATTTCAGAGTGTGTAATGTGAGAACTTCCAGAGTGATGGTAATGTTGACAAACTTCCAGAGTGATGGTAATGTTGACGAACTTCCAGAGTGATGGTAAAGTTGACGAACTTCCAGAGTGACAAAGGGTCATATGGGGTCTAGGCACGAACATCCAGAGCAATGGTACATAAGCATGCAACGAGATCACTACAACAGCAACGAGATCACTACATCAGCAACGAGATCACTACAGCAGCAACGAGATCACTACAGCAGCAACGAGATCACTACAGCAGCAACGAGATCACTACAGCAGCAATGAGATCACTACATCAGCAACGGGATCACTACAGCAGCAACGAGATCACTACATCAGCAACGAGATCACTACAGCACTAACGAGATCACTACAGCAGCAACGAGATCACTACAGCAGCAACAAGATCACTACATCGCCAACAAGATCACTACATCACCAATAAGATCACTACATCATCAACAACATCACTACATTACCAACAAGATCACTACATCATCAACAAGATCACTACATCACCAACAAGATCACTACATCACCAACAACATCACTACATCACCAACAAGATCACTACATCATCAACAAGATCACTACATCACCAACAAGATCACTACATCACCAACAAGATCACTACATCACCAACAAGATCACTACATCACCAACAAGATCACTACACAGCCAACGAGATCACTACATCACCCAACAAGATCACTACATCATCAACAAGATCACTACATCACTAACAACATCACTACATCACCAACAAGATCACTACATCACCAACAACATCACTACATCACCAACAAATCACTACATCACCAACAAACACACTACATCACAAAAGATCACTACATCACCAACAAGATCACTACGTCACCAAACAAGATCACTACATCACCAACAACATCACTACATCACCAACAAGATCACTACGTCACAACAAGATCACTACATCACCAACAACATCACTACATCACCAACAAATCACTACATCACCAACAACATCACTACATCACCAACAACATCACTACATCACCAACAACATCACTACATCACCAACAACATCACTACATTCACCAACACATCACGCATCACCAACAAGATCACTCATCACCAACAACATCACTACATCACCAACAACATCACTACATCACCAACAAGATCACTACATCACCAACAACATCACTACATCACCAACAACATCACTACATCACCAACAACATCACTACATCACCAACAACATCACTGCATCACCAACAAGATCACTGCATCACCAACAAGATCACTACGTCACCAACAAGATCACTACAGTGGCAGAACAATCAGGTAAATTATAAAACTCTGTTCAAAGGAGCAATCAATTTAATTCACAAAAATTCTTTGCTCATCGTGAAAATTTTACAGCGGTGACTCAACTCTCTGAAATTAACATGAGAATTAACATGGCAATTAATGTCATTAGCATAAATTTGTTGACTTGTTTGTTCAAGAATAAGACGCATGTGTAACACTTTGGTATCCTTATTGTCCAAACGTATCGCCTGCACAACAGGCTTCTTCAGTCAAATACGGGAGAATATATCACTGGAGACAGTGATCAGTCCGTCAGTCTTGGTAAGAGGTGATCAGTCCCTCGAGACTGTAGCATAGGCATACGGTCACTTCTCATACACAAGAGCAGAAGTGAAGTGAAGCAGCTGGGGCTGCCAACGCAGGTGAGCGTGGTCCACTGTTTGCTGCTGCGGGAGTCGATTCTCAGTTCCTGGCCTCGACTTTCACATCATATGACTGGATATATATGTTTACAGACTTATGGGATCTATCTTACCCATCGTAAAGCTGAGTATTTTTTTTTTTTTTTAATTTCTTCATCTCCTCAAACAATTTAGTTATTA